AAAGTTTTAAGTGTATCAGGTGGGACCTCAGAGAAAAGGCAGTTCTGATGGCCAAGATCTGGGTGAAAAACAGCCCTTCTGAAAATGTGTCAGGAAAAAGGAGCCGGCAAAGGTGGAGGTCCAGGGTTAGCTCCCACCCTGCGCGGCGGAGGATATCAGGGGGCGGCTTTCCTACAATAGGATGAATCCGATCACATTAAACGCGCGGTAATGTGATGTGGCGCACATATGGAGATCATTACAATTAAAGCGTTGTTCACTTCGGAATAACTTTAATGGTGTCCTGATTTTTTTTCCCATTAAAAAATCATAAAACAAATAAATGGGGGTGGATAGAAGAGAATCTGCCGGAATGGTTTGCAAGAGAAAGGCCTATTTCCAGAGACATCCTATCAGCTGGCTTAGTCTTTGAGCCCCTAGCTCTCCCCTAGACCAGCAGCCTCTCCTGTGTTTGCATTGGCTGTGCAGCTGCAGAAGTAACGATTCCATTAACCCAGAGGCCGAGTTCCAGCGATGGAAAGAAACCCTCTCACTTCTGCAAAGTGGGTGGGTAACCTTAAGATCAGATTCAGGATGCTCCCGGCACCAGTTGGGAAGTGGCAGTTAAGTGACCAGAATATAAGCCTGTCTGGCGCCTGATATCGCTACTTCTGAATTCTTCTCTTGGCTCCTTGCAGTTAGTCAAGGGCAGAAGCTTGGTTATCCAAGAATATTTAAAGCCTGTTGAAGGCCCAGCAATGATAGTGGGTGCTCTTTAATAGTGCCTAAAGGATGAGGCCATGTGGGAGGCCCATTCAGACTCCAGATTTTTGTATTTGTTTTTTAAGAGATTTTTGGTATAGGGCACACACACTGGCCACAGCAACAGTAAGAAATCACCCCCGGGGGGCATGGCCATGCTGCCATCCTTTCTCCATTCTCCTCTCAGGATCTTGGACAGGCTTGCACACGCACCTGGCGTGAGTTTTAAGTCACAGGGTTTGCGACTCAAACCACGGTTGACTACCTGGAGTCCAGCAACTTACTCATTATGCCATCTGCTGGTACCAACTCTTCATTTTTTTTTTAATTTTTATTTTTTGAGAGGTTTTTGTTATAGGGCATGTGTGCTCACCAGAGAGACAGAAAGTGAGAAATCATCACCACCACCACAATCCTTTCTCCTCCATTCTCTCAAGATCTTGGGCACGCACTGCACTCACACGCGCCTGGAGTGAGTTTAAGCCACCGGGTCCAAGGCTCAAACCATGGTCGACTACATGGGAGTCCAGCACATAGCCATTACGCCAACTGTTGGACCCCTAACTCTTCATTCTTAAAAGCTCTAACAGCAGTAGGGGCCTGTAGTCCCAGACACCCTGATACAAACATCTTAAATGTTCTTTGGAAATGGCCAAACCCAGCTGTTTTATCTACCTTTTATGGACAGACTTTGCAGTCAAATGGACCTGAGCTCAGAGCCCACCCCTGCT